GTAGAGAGGGATGGAAAGGAACCTCGAGAAAGTGAGGGACAGCCTGGATCATGACAGTGCAATGAAGCAGTCTGACATGGGGTCTCCACAATTTCACCGTCTGCCACAAGTTCCCACAGTCACCTTCCTCCTCCTGACCTTTAAAGGAGGCACTGAGGCAGACCTCCCAGCAGCAAGCCAGTCAGTATCTGACCAAGAAAGAATTGTTGCACAGATGCACCCAAAGGCTTGGCATGGTGGCCCACTGTCCGAAGACAAAGCATTCAGACTCCTGGCCTGAACAGTCCCTCACTGTCTCTGGCTATACATCCCCCTGCGATAGTTCACATTCATCTTGCTTCTCACACCTTGTTTGCTTGTCTTTAAGTTTTCTACAGGTCTGTTCACAGTCAAGACTTCACATGGACACCCTGGCTGTATCTCAATGTCCTTAAGAGACTTTTGTAATTTTCTTGCCTCCCCTTCTTGCCCCTGCACAGTCTCTTGCACTGTTTCCTTCTGAGACCCTCACTCCTTTAGGTTTCCTGTGTGTTGTTTATTGTACTCCCTACTGGGATTTGAGCTCCGTGGCAGCAGGAATCTAGAGACTCTCACCTGTTCCCACCTGGCTTACAACAGTGCCTGGCACACAGTAGGGACGCAGATATTTGAGTGGATGAACAAATCCATATACATGTTTCTAAGTGATAAAGCAGCTGTCTAAAAAACATAGCCCAGTGAGCTGTTGAATGTTTTTAGCACAGAACTTGGGGTTATTTTTTTCAAAGTACTATAGTGAGTATAAGTTGACAACTGAAACAGGTGAAATACTAGATATGCTAAGACAGCTAACTGTTCTTCAGTTTTCAGTATTTGGTATTCTTTCTTAGAACCAGGACCCAGAGTTTTCCGTTTTAATGAAATTCAAGAAAGTGTAGTACATCTTAGCCGGAGAGACAGTACAGCAGGTCGGGTGCTTGTCTTGCACACGGCTGATTTGAGTTCAATTCCCAGCACCACATATGGTCCCCTGAGCCTGCCAAGAATAATCTCTGAAAGCGGAGCCAGGAGGAAGGCAGGTGTGCCCCCCATACCCCAAAAATAGATAAAATGTAGTTCTTCCAAGAAAGTACTTTCCACTTCTCCCTTTCTTTGTGTTATCAGATGCAGTTGTATTGATAGGCACTTGAATCATCCCTTTAGTTCATGAGGTTATGGAGTAAAATTGCATGATAGCAGGAGATGGGCAGGGTCCCTGGAGCCTACTAAATTTGTCCTCATTCATTTATGTGGGTAAGAAATAAATTTCTATCTTGTGTAAACCCCTAAAATTTGAGGCTTTATAAAATGACATGTAACCGAACCTAACTGTAAAGGGAATGTGGTGATTACAGGGAAATTCTGAATGTGATATATGAAAGGAGGGCAAAATAAGGGGCTATAATGAAAAAGCAGAATGTTCCCTGAAGTGCTTATTTCTTAAAGCACGGTGGGGCCCAGCGGGTGTTTTTTGGCCTTCTCTTGTCACAGTCTGAGCAGTTATCTGGGATTACAAGGACTCGAGGAAACCTGGATCCAGAGACATCAGCAATCCTGGCTCTGGTGTCACTTGATGAAATAAATGTTCATTGGAAATAAATGTTGATGAAATAAATGTCATGTGAATAATTTTAGTTATTTTTTATTACGATAATTGTATCCATTTTCAAAAACCTTTACTCTCAAATTGTGTGACTCACTTTGGGGACATTATCTTTGATTTTATAATGATGATAGTATATATAGACTATTAAAAATTCTTTTTCAAAAAAATTTAAAAGCTGTCACACCTAGGTAAGACCCCAAATCAATCAACTTAATTACTTGCCTAAAGCAACCCAAAGTCCAGGTGTTTTAGTGAATAAAAAATAGTGAATTAAGGCTTAGGTATAACAAGAGTGGTAGTAAACTGATGTATATTTATATTTAATATTACTATCATCTTGATCCTTTTGTTATACAGTATAAGACAAGTCATTCTTGTTTCTGGACAAGAACTTGTATAGTTTTACACAATGCATTTTAATTTTTTAAGTGAGCAATGTGATACCACGGGTTTTGAGAGATCACTTTGGACAGGATGATATTGCTCAGCAGTAAAACATGTGCCGTGCACATGTGAGACCCTGAGTTTGATTCCCAAAACAATGAATGTATAAATGAATAAGTGAATGAAGAAATAAATCAATAAATGGGTCACTGTGGCTACTATAATAAAAGAGATAATAAAAACAAAAGAAGAAGCAAACAGACCATAAGAAGGCAACTGGAATAATCCTGGGAAGAGGTAAGAGGCTGGGTGGTAGTGGGTAAAAGCAGCTGGGAATAGATGAATTCAGCCTATATTCCAGAAACTGGACTGACTGAATTTGCTGATGGACCGGATGCACTGTAGCAATGTAGCATTGTCCTCTCGTTCATCAAGTTGCTCGAGCAGGCCCAATAACATCTCCATTGTGAGACTTGTTGTTACTGTGTTTGGCATATCGAATACGCCACGGGGGGGGCTTGCCAGGCTTTGCCATGAGGGCAAGATACTCTTGGTAGCTTATTGGCTCTCCGAGAGGGGCGGAGGAATCGAACCTGGCTCAGCCAGGCTGGCCATGAGCAAGGCAAATACCCTACCGCTGTGCTATCGGACAATGCTACAGCAATGAGCAATTAAAACTCATTGCTCTGCAGCTCATACAAATAAACCAGCACTGAGGCCTCAGTACCTCACTCCAGGTCCCCGCGGGGGCAACTGCTCCTTCCAGAACCTTTCCATGGGTTCCTCAGGGCTGACTCCAGACCCACCCCACCCCTGCTGGGAGAAGAGCTCGAAATCCCGCCCATCCCTACACATCTGAGCTGCCTTCCTGACTGCAAGAACCAGAAGGGACCACGAACCTCAGCTTGTGGCTCTAGAACTTCTGAGGAGATGATTCAGGCACCCGCAGGGACAGTTTGGGCCAGCCCGCCATCTCACCCAGAGTAGCAGCAGACACTCCCCCGTCACCCAGGACTCAACAGTGAGATCGTGCACCGTGAAGCAAGCAACACTGGCACTGACCGGGCTCCGTGATTGTCCTACAGCCCAGGCTCAGGGCTCCATGCTGTGCACATGGCATCAAAGCCCTGTTCCACCTTACATGAGCCTTTGCCCCTCAAGAAGCCCAAGGTGCATTTCTAGGCCTTTAGGAAAGATGGGACATAGCAAGGCCCAGGGCGATTTGGCAGAGCTAAAGGGAAGATAAGCAGAAAACCAGAGAGGGCCAGAACCTGCTTTATCCTCTTGATGAGAATTATCAAAGAAAAGATTCCTAGGAGTAGTGAATTTTGAGGGGGAAAGATCTGGAGTTCACTTTTATATTTAAATTTAAAGTGATTATCAGACATCCAACTAAAGTATTCACGTAGACATCAGTCTAGCTTCTAGGAAAGAAAATGAAGCTGGAGTTAAATTCAATTATCACGGCATGCAGAGATACTTAAAGCCATGGGGTTAGAGGAGATCATCCAAAGGGAGACCTCAGGCACTCCAATGTCTGATGGGAGGAAGGCAAGGAACAAAGAGGCCACGAAAAGCAAATAGCAAGGAAGGAGGGAAACATACAAGCACGTGGTAATATTCAGCAAGCCAAGTGTAGACAGTGTTCTGCAGGGGAGAAGTGATTCATTCTGTCTAAAGCAGCTGATCACATCTGCCCTGCTTGGTTCATTTCACCTTAGCATTTGCCACTAACAGACAAGAGAAAACACAAGAAAACTGGGCAAGTAAGGCAGCATGGAGACTGAGCTGATCCTTGTCATCTTGCTCTCTATGAAGTGTCAATGGACAGTTCCAAATATTGTAGAGAAAAATAACAAACTCAAGCTCTTGAAAAAAATGTAGGTGAATGCTAGAAGAAATAGCTAAAAGAAAGTTGAAAATAGGTCTCGTAGGGAGTAGAAGACTGTTGTTTTTCATTGCAAATCATAACTTTTCAAGCCGTATCTATCACTTTGATATATGCAGGAAATAATTAGAAAGAAATACATGCGCTAGATGCCTACTTCACAACCCTGCCCATGAAATGCAGAGGCCAGCAACTCCATATGCTCATCAAGTGTACTTGTTCATCCAGTAAGGTCTTGCTTATGATATAAACACTATACATTATGTACATATATAGTACATCCTATGCAACTTCTCTTTAGGTACAAGGATGAATACCTTTTCAACCCAAATTCTTTCATTGCTACAAATTAAAGGCCTTCTTGATATTATAGCAGTGTTTAATCACTGAAGAGTCTACTGTTCAATTAGGAACAAAATGCACAGCCACTGTTTTATGATCATCTTATATAATTTTCCATCTTTAAAAACATCTCCTGAGTCTGAGTAAGTTTGGAAAGCTGTGAGAGTTGAAGTGAAATTCTACTGTATTATTAAACTTTTTAGCATTTCTCCATAATAAACTCTTGGGAGGCAGAGATAATTTTACTTCCATGTAATTTTGCATGTCTGCTTCCAACAATCAGTTTCTTGACAAAAGATTTCACCTTCTCCTAATCTCTGGACCTCTATCTCTAGTAAAACTGTTTAACACTGGCAAGGAAAATACTTAAATTTTTCCCACTATTTTCTCAATGTACTTCAAGCACTTTTCGTATATTAATCACTGTTGTGAAAATAGTTGTTATTTCTAAAATGGATACTGTATTATTTTTATATTACAGAAAGAGTAAACCGAGTCACAGAGGTTAAGCAATCCTCTTAATTAGAAGAATTAAATTACATTTAATTCTTAATTAAAAGAATATGCATATCATAAACAGTAAAACTAGGACCAGGAGCAAAGTTGTCTTCAGTTTTAACATTTAGATCAAATGTTTGTTTGTAAAATCAATGAAATAACAAAGCCAGTAACAATTTAGTGACACAAAATAAAATCATGTGATTCATGGATGGCATTATTTCTCTTATTTTTATTGAAAGACTGCGTTTTTATTTATCTCACCTTTTTCTTTTTGTTCTGGATCATCTGTTTTTCTATTTGTTGCTGAAAATTAAAAACAATACAAAGTAAGCAATATGAAATAATTCATAATGCAAAACAGCAGTTTAAGTGAATTAAATATAATAAAAATATTTCTGTATTAATAAATGACAAACACTTCATTTTGAATTCTAACACTCAGAATACCAAACCATGGATGGTGGAATGGGATGAGTTAGAATAGAAATACCATGAAGATAATGGTGGACTGCACTTTGGTGGGGTTGGACCCCAGTAACTGTACATCAAGAGCCCAAATATTAACACTATTATAATAATGTTACCTAAGCTATAGTAATACATATAAACATGTATGTATATGTGCGTATAAATATACATATATACACACATATACTACCATATTTAAGCCATTTCATTTTTTGAAGGTAAAAAGAAATAAGACACAGGCTTCTGGTGCAAGAAAGATATTTTTCAAGGCCAGTTTTTTTTTTCCTCCTTTGAGACTCGAGGTGAAAAAGGAAGTGACTGAAAGTTTTGAAAGTGATTGTGACTGCCAAGCATATATACATATATACACACATATATCTCAAGCATACAGTTGAATTTTCCTAAATCCTAAATTCTCTACATATTTGTATGTTATAAAAAATGTTCAAATCAAACTTATTTGATTTACTCAAAAAACTCACTTGGGTAGTAAGCAGCTATCAGGCATTGGGCATCTCCATCCTCTTTGTCTACCAAGGGATAATGGAGTGCGGAGAAGCCCTCACCAAAGCTTACTCAATATTTGCATCGTTCCCTAAAGCTTAAGACTTTATCACAGTCTGGAGCTGGAGAGATAGTACAGTAAGAAAGGTGTCTGCTTTGCTGATCCAGAGTTTAATCCCTTGCATCACATATGGTCCCCTCAACCTTCAAGGAGTAATGCCTGAATATAGAGCAAGGGTATGGCCAAAAAACATTCAAAAAAGACTTTATTATAGCCACCATCTGCTTTAAAGAAATGCAGCCTCTGTACCAGGCAACACTAAGATCTCTCCTCAATATTGTAGAAATGTGCATCATAACTCACTTGCTGAGGAGATGAGACAGGTGAGAGTGCCCACCTATGCCAGCCTCTCAGCCATCAGACAGGTCTCTCCCATACACAAGGCTGCCAATCACAGAGAAAACTGCCAAGAACCTGCATTGACCAACGGACCTCAATCCAAGGAAATGGAACTCATCAGTGTTTAGTCTCATTTCTGCATTCAAAACCTCATCTCTAGTCTATTTTCTTAATAGCCTAGAATCTAGTTCATGTTCAAAGTAAATCAGTTGATTCAATTCCCAATAGGCATTTTTCTAGTCTTTGGAACTTTCCAGGAACATGTGTGTGTGTATATGTGGTGGAAGGGGTGGGGCAAAGATTGAAAGACTGACCAAAAAAGTAAAAAGTAAAGTAAAGGCCCTCCCGTTGATCATCGATTTGCTCGAGCGGGCCCAGTAATGTCTCCATTGGAGACTTTGTTGTTACTGTGTCTGGCATATCGAATACTCTCGGTAGCTTGCCGGGCTCTCCGAGAGGGGCGGAGGAATCGAACTCGGGTCGGCCATGTTGGCTGCGTGCAAGGCAAATGCCCTACCGCTGTGCTATCGCTCCAAAAAAATCAAAATCAAAAACAACCCAAAATGTAAAGCTACTGTCTTTTCCCTATTGTGGTTGGGGGTGGCCATCAAGAATGTAATCACGGTGCCCGTGTGGTCAACAGTATAGAAGGGAGGGCACCTGCCTTTTACACAGCTGATCAGGTTCGATCCCTGGCATCCCATATGGTCCCTTGAGCCTGCCAGGAGTGATCCCTGAGCTCAGAGCCAGGAGTAACTCCTGGGCCCCACCAGGTGTGGCCTCAAAATAAACAACAAAAGAATGCAATCATTGATTACTTGAGTTTTCAGTTTTCCATATTTAAGCCATTTCATTTTTTGAAGGTAAGAAGAAATAAGACACAGGCTTTCGGTGCAAGAAAGGTATTTTTACAAGGCCAGTGGCCAGTTTTTTTTTTCCTCCTTTGAGACCCGAGGTGAAAAAGGAAGTGACTGAAAGTTTTGAAAGTGACTGTATGTGAGTGCCAAGCTTATCAGGAGTTGTCTCTTGTATCCTAATACCCTACATGGAAGGTTTTATCTTCCTCTGTGCAAACAAAGAGGAAACTGAGAAAACAAAATGTTTAATATGATGTAGATCAGCAATTATTATTGCAAAGCAGGTACTTTCTATAGGCCATTCACTGCATTTTTTGAAAGAGAAAAAGGGATGGAGGATCAGACATTCATATCTGCAAATGGCTTTGATAAAGTAGCCTGTGACACTCCTGGCTACAAGAGGCTGATAAATTTGAAACAAAAAGCCCCTTCTAGATCTCTGATGAATGTTCTAGAATTTCAGATTTTACTAACCATACCCTCCTCAAAAAGTTAGGTAGAGGCTGTAGACAGCAAAGTAAGTAGTGAACTTGCCTTGCATGTCACCAATCCTGGCTCAAATTTGCAGCCGCAGGTGCGGTTTTTGAGGTTACTCCTGAGTGCCAAGGCAGGAATATCCTGAGTATCAATGAGTGTAACCAAGACCCCCTACATGAACCCCCACATCCCACCCCACCCCTGAACACATTGCTGAAAATGAGCCAGGTGCTACAATTTTAATAGGGAGCACTCTCCTCAAAGGCTTCAGTGATAAAAGATTGAAGTATAGCACTAAAAGTTTGTCTTCAACATCTGAGAGTTAATCCGTTACTTGCACATGGCTGGTGTACTTTGAAAAATACAACACTATATACAAATTTCTAACCTCATTAAAAACAAACCTGGCAAGTGCTAGTCTTAAAAGAGTTTAGACCTTTTTTAAAAAAACTTCTTGTATAGGGGTGAAATAGGAAAGAAGTTTGAATTGGTTGCATTTCTAATAGCTACAAGAGCACAGGTTATGCTAACTCCTAGGACCAATGCACCACCACCTTCCTTTCAAGAAGCTGATCTGGCCAGCCTTGACCCTGGGACAAAAGAGGATGTCTTTTGCATCCTCTTCTGTTCCTAGCCTCATTTCAATACACTGAGAAATAAGTTACCTGTTTGGGAAAACACACAAAACAAAACAGACATTTTAGCCTCTCAAGTTTTCAGTGCAAAAATTTAGAAAAACTTAGAAAAACTTCTTGACTTAGAACTTAAGTCAAGAAGTTTTTCTAAGAGTATTGTATAGACCAAACATGATTGTCAATGCTTCTTTTGCAAACCACAATACCCCAAAGGAGAGAGAGAACAGAGGGAATGCCCTGCCACAGAGGCAGGGTGGGATGGGGGGATGGGGGTGGGAAAGATACTTGGATCCGTGGTGGTGGGAAATGGGCACTGGTGGAGGGATGGGTATTTGATCATTGTATAATTGAAACCCAAGCACAAAATTTGTAAGTCTACAACTCTATCTCATGGTGTCTCACTAATAAAAATTAAAAAAGAGTATTGTGTAGGGGCTGGATAATAGTACATCAGGTAGGGTGTTTGCCTTGCATGCCACCTACCCGGGTTCAATCTCCAGCATCCCATATGGTCCCCCAAGCACCACCAGGAGTAATTCCTGAGTGCAGACCCAGGAGTAACCCCTGAGCATTGTTAGGTGTGACCCCAAGGCAAAATAAATAAATAACAAAGAGTAGCACTGTACTCCCGTTGTTCATCAATTTGCTGAAGCGGGCACCAGTAACATTTCCATTCTGAGATTTGTTGTTACTGTTTTTGGCATATCGAATATGCCATGGGGAGCTTGCCCGGCTCTGCCATGTGGGTGGGATACTCTCGGTAGCTTGCCAGGCTCTTCGAGAGGGAGGCAGGAATTGAATCTGGGTCAGCCGCATGCAAAGCTGACCTACCCTCTGTGCTATTGCTCCAGCCCAACAAAAGAGCATATTAAAAAAAAAAAAGTAATGTGTAGAATGTTTTTCTTTACTCTTTTTACACACTTCCTGGAAATTTCACCTAGACCTTGCTGTACAAGAATGATTTATTGAGCACCCAGTAGCACAGCGGTAGGGTGTGTGCCTTGCACACGGCTGGCCCTGCCGAGCCGGGTTTGATTCCTCCGCCCCTCTCGGAGAAACTGGCAAGGTACTGAGAGTATCTCTCCCACATGGCAAAGCCTGGCAAGCTACCCATGACGTATTCAATATGCCAAACACAGTAACAACAAGTCTCACAATGGAGACATTACTGGGCCTGCTCGAGCAAATCGATGAACAACGGGAGGATAGTGCTACAGTGCTATGCTAAGCATTTAATGCCAATTATCCCATTTTAGTTTCAAATCTGAAAGATATTGTTAATTTTCCCAATAAGGAAACTAAGACTTAGAAAGGCTAAAAAATTTTGCTAATGATAGTAAAAGAAATAAAATCACTTAAGATGGCCATAATTTTCTTCTTTAATCATATACTGCATATCTCAAACATAGACAGCCCATGAGCTAAAGGAAACTATAAACTCAACCCAACACTCAATATTATAAAAGTACAAATAAACTCACCCAAAACACAGTATTAAAACATACATGCATTAAAGGCAAATGCCACACATTGTCTCATTACAGTAACATTTTACTTTCTTTTGGACATTATTTTATTGGAATGAAAAAATTACTAGAAATAATGCGATTGTAATATTTAAAGGAGTGTCACAGAACCATTTAAAAAGTTACCTTTGTGTATCCAAATATCCTCAAGCCTATTATGTTCCAGTTACTGTACTCATCTTGCTGGACCTACACACACCCAAAGCTAATTTTCAATTTTTTTTCCTTCTGAATTACTCATCATGAAAATGGTTTTTCATTCCCCAAGACCCAAACCTGAGTTCTGCTTTCTCTCTAGTGGGCCACAGCCCAGCGGTGAGTTAATTTTTCTGACCTCTACTCTTTCATCTTACTTTCTCACCCCACTCCCTCTCTTCCAGGTCAGACTCTACCATAACCTGGTTTACTACCCATTACTTTCCTAATTACTCTCCTG